TAGATAGTCATAAAGAATGTAAAATCTGGCACATATCTACATTAGTCCAAGCTACTATATCAAAGTAACACAACGAGATGAAGACAACAAAATGAATACCAATGTAGCTGAATTAGGTAGTAAAAAGTTTAAGGAATGGAGGATATTGTTCAAAAAGGAATGAGTTCACGGAATGAAAGTTTTAAGATAAGTTCGAAACTTGTGTTCTAAGAGAAAATCAAGAGTAAATGTATCTGTCTCTCGGGGACCTGTTTTAAACCATGTCACTCAACATCTCCAAATATTGATCACAGTAGTTGCTCAGACCCCAACCACGTCGTTTACACTCACCAACATAGCTCAGACTAACAGTCAATGACTCTAGACGGTAGTGTCACGTTTTTGTTTGGTCGCTATTATCTTTCTCTAAACGTACTCCTACACCAGCCGATATCATGCATCAAGATAGGGACGGTGTCTAAACCTTTAAAATCTATATTACCAAGTATAGCATATATCACTAGCAAATTCATTAATTTATGTCACACGTTCATAATAATAATAATAACTCTGGTAAATGAAGCTGTTGAAGTGGATAAGGATTTCATGACATAATGAAAATAGCATTTCCTCACACAACAATCCTTCATATTTTTCGTAACTCCTTTGTTGAATATTAACGATATAAGAAAAATGTTCGGAAACGTATTAGACACTTTTTTGTCAAAAACTAATCCAAATAATATATTTTTATGAAATTTGTGCAGTTTGTTTTGTATTTGAAATCAGTAATATTAACAGCATTTACTGAATATTTGAAACAATCACTGTAAACTAACTGTAAGAGTGAATTTCAGGGAAAGTATTTATTCATCGTTTCGGTTTATTACGACCTTTGTATGTGATGAATAGACTTTATATTTACATTTTATTAGTAGTAAGTAGTTGTGAGCTGATGGTTTTCAATGGATATCAATTAAAAATTATTTTAATAGTTGAATTCATGAGCCAATTACAGCTAAACCACCATGGAAAATCTGGAAGACGACCGTTTCGTCCTAGCATGGGACTCCTCAAAAGTGCACATCCACGATCCCATACCAAAGGGACTCGAAACCAGGACCTTCAGTCTTACTCATGAACGCTTAACTTCTAGACCACTGAGCCGACATCCAACGGTGTTAATGTCTAACTTCAACCAATCCACGATATTACGCGACCATCCACCGTTGTCTTCTATGAGTAACTGCCTCACAATAGACAGAGTTGTACCCCACTGGTTACGGCTTTTCACTAGAACTCCGGGAAATCCATCTTGAAGCCAATCACTAGTGAGCACATGATGATTATTATCAAATTACTACAATCTTCACAAACCCTCATTTTAATAAAAATTATTTTCATAGTTGAATTCATGAGTCAATTGAAGCTAGACCGCCATGGAAAACCTGGAAGCACTGGACGGCCGTTTCGTCCTATCGTGGGACTCGGTTAAGAAATCGCACGCGAGACTGATAGGTCCTGGGTTCTAATTTCGCCAGGCTGGATCGTGGATGAGCACTGAGGAGTCTAACAATAGGACTAAACGGTCGTCCAGTGCTTCCGGGTTTTCCATGGTGGTCTAGCTTCAATTGACTCATAATTTCAACTATGAAAGATTATTTGTTGAATATGTTTATTATGTAAATTACTCATCGTAATTAACTGATTCTAAATAAACTTTTTTTTTCATTAGTTGTTCACTTGAATGATAATCGAAACAAAGAAAAAGTGAAGAAAGCACAAATTTTTAAATGAAATTAGTATCATAATACAAATTACAGACAGTTAGTTGTACATTAATTAGCACAATCACATACACACACAAATATCATGCCTAAACCTCGATTTCAATTAATAATACTATACAAAAACTGAACAAAAGTCAGATATATGATAAAATGTTGACCTGTTTCGATGACTACTTTCATCGATGTTAATAAATGAACATTCCTAATGTATTTTTGATGTGTTTTTTTAAAGGGAAAAATAGTGTAACAAATTTTCAAATGTATTAATAAATAAAATACACATATTTTTATGTTATAAACGGTAGGATTCTTGTTATAACAGTCTTTTTATTTTTTACACGTATGTGGGACGTGAATTTACCTTAGACGAATATCTACACTAGATTCCCATCCAGTGTCTATTCTACAGGACTTCAACACAACTCAGATCAAGAACACGAGATTAACCTGACTAGTACGTCAATAGATATTTCCACACCAAAATCCGACACAATCCAACAACAAGGAACAGTCAATCAGTAATGATAAGGATAGGGGAATATATAACACATATAACACCTGTCATCCTATCTAATGTCTGACTCAGCAAAGCAACCAATCATTGTCATTCTCACCCACACATCATTTTACACTGAAAAAAAACAGTATGCACTATGTCAATTAAGAGACTGACCAGTTGCAGTCCTAAAAACATCAATGGGAAGATCCAAACAAACAATACTAAGTAAATAAAATGAAATAGTTTGGGTGTTAGTAATGTTGTTTAATTCAATTGAAATGCCTATTATTTGAATGAGAGTACTTCATATATTATATAAATATTCATAAAAACAAACAGGTTAGAGGTTATTTGGAGATGGAATTCAGAAACATATATGGGGTTAATAGGTAAGGCAGTAATTATTAAATGAGGTCTGGAAACAGTTAAGATAGATTGTGTGGTAATTATAGGGGTTGTAAAAGATTTACATAAGATTACTGGAATTAGAAATTGATAAGAGAGGTAATAATTGAATAGGATTTGAAGAGTTTACATAAGTAAATGAAAACCTATGAATGAAGGGATGGTGCTGGTGTACATAAAATAAAAGTTAATTTAGGGAAGACCTCATAACAAAATAATCATACCAACAAAAAATAAGGTAGCGATAAGTGTATTATTGTCTCTTTCTGAATACATAAATCAGTTTTTTTTCCTACTACAGATTCGGCAAACTGGAGAGACACTGCGTATTTTTGTCTGCTAATAATTTTTAAAGGTTTTAGAATGTCAGTGGTATACTCGGTGTCAATTAAATGTCGAGCTATTGTGCTGTTTAGAGCCGTTCCGCCTTTTAGTCTCAGATTCTTTGGAACGTAGTTCGAAATGTGAACATGTACTCCTCTCTTCGTTCTTCCAGCGCATGTGCTTTGGCACATACATTTTAGTTGGTAAATGTATTTGGAGGTACTGACAAAAGAGAACCTGTCAATTTTTGTTTGTTTGAGTGAGCAGTTCGTTTCACATAACGTCTTCAGTTTTGCTGATGGATAAGCAACCTTAATTACGGCATTTATCCTATGGTTAGTTATTCCAATGATTTTATCTCCGAAGTCCAGATATAAGAAGCAGGCTTTTTTCCACTGTACCGTACATAACACACGTTTCTCTCGATTCTCATTTTCACCAAGACAAGCTCTTCTTCCAGGCTTTCCTTTGAGCAAAGTTTGTGAGCGCGGTCAGAAAAGGCCCGTACAATCCCCTTTTTGTGACTCAGACAGAAGCTGTTGTAATTTAGGTAAACTCCACTCCATGTACTTTTACGATGGATGTGTCTTTATAGTATGCCGTCTCAAGTTCGTTTGATTCCAATATCTAGGAAATGAGATATACCTTCTACTACATGTCCCATAGTAAAATCTATATCATTATATTCTTTGTTGAACAGATTGAATAGGTACATAGAATGCTTAGGATTGTTGCAGACAAGTAATGTGTCATCAATATATTTACAATAGTGTGGTTCCTTCGATTGCGTGCATCTGTCCCAGGTTCCCCATATACATATCAGCCAGAATTGGGCCAATAAAGTTACCCACGGCTACTCTATCAATTTGGTGGTACAATACAATGTTAGACTGAAATTGTATATTTTTGGTGCACATGAAGAGAATCTGTTTGAATTCATCACTTGGTAAGGGAGGAAGTTCAAGATATTTACGTAATACTGGCCATTTCTTCCAAAGGAATTTTTGTGAAGAGAGATCAGGCGTCGAATGATACCATGAGCTCATCGGAAACATTAGGGCTACCAAGGTTTTGTACAAATTTGAAACCACCCTTCAGACTGCAGGGAGCAAGTTTCTTGCAGATTGGTTCTAAACACCTCGTCAACCTGCAAGCGAGTTTATAGAAAGGTGACTTAGTCAATAGATAATATTAGCCTTATCAAGATGTTTGGTTTGTGTATTTTAGGTAAGCCGTACGAGTAAGATAATTGTGGTCCGTTCGGTTTGAGTTCATCGTACGTAGATTTATCGATTAAGTTCTTTAAGATTTCGCCTAACTTGCATAAAGACGCCTCCGACTCCACGAGATTTATCATCGACCATGCTCAGAAAGATCTGACAGATGCGAAGAAAATTCTATCGAATAAGAAAATAGATTAAATGATAGCCAAATACCTTTAACGGTTTGATACAAATATAGGGAGTTAAGATCAATAATTGAATCTTTCTCAAGTATCCCAATGGCTGGTACACGTTTAACCATAGAATATAGAAATAGATGGCTGAATTAACATTGTCAAATTCTAGCACAAGTATAGAGTACATAATAAACTAGTCTGTCAGTTATTAATTTGAACCATAGATCTACAGTTCACCATAAAATAACTAAGATTTTTAGATAAACGAGTTTGTTGTATGTTGAAACTTAACTGTTTATTTACAGATAAACATTCACTCGGTAGTAAGTAGTGAGCTCAGTAACTGAGAAGCTAAAAATTTGCATATTGCTGCAATCCTTATGGTTTCTTTTCAAATTAAATTATTTCTGCACGCAAAGACCAGTCTGTTGACTACAGACATTTTTAACAGTATAGCCTAGCTTATTTAAAAGAATTGTAATTTTACAGTATATATTTCAGATTTTATTCACTGTGTAGTTACAAATGACTAGAAAGTTATTTTGATTGGTGAGGGAAGCGATTAAATTATTACTATAATAAAAGTTGGGTGGTGTTCAGCAATAAAACCCACAGTGAACATTTCGTCCCACTAAAGACTCACCAACTAGATATGCCTACATCCCAAATACTTTCAAACTGTTATGATAAAAGTCAAAGCAGTTTACGTAAGCAATATTTATCGTAGTTTGTTCACTCTTTTTCTCTCATAAAGATAATAACGCTTTCAAAAGGAGTATGATAAACAAACACCATAAGTATGTCAGACATCAATAAGTAAATATATGCATGCATTATCTAGAATTAACAAGCGAGAGAAACACAGAAAAACAAGGCAGAATAGTCTAGAATATACATAGAATCCTGAAAAAGCCCTGAATTCGTAAAAAAGACAATAATAGTGGTGAGAAAAAATAATGTCGATAGTGATATGTTGGTTACATTCATTTCAGTAACGAAAAGAAAATCCTAAGAAAGACCTAACAGACTGTCAAAGAACTATCATATAAGAATATATTTATCTATATACGTAAAGTTGAAGCAATAATATATCATGCAATATGACATACTGAAAGAAATAGACAAAATATATTCACAGCTATTTCAAAACTGATATGATTTGTGTTATTTCTTTTTGTAAAAACAAATTTTAATTAAGTAGTAATTGTTGATTGAAGTCGATAATATGTTCGACGTTGTTGACGACGACTTGAATTAACGACAATCCATATTGACATTAACATGGCCAGTAGATCGGATGTGATAAGCATAGCAAATACAACAGACCAACCATATGGAACTAGTAAACCAGTCAGAAGTGGACCTAATGCAGCACCTGTAATGCATAAATAAAAATCACAAATAAAAATTGTCCCTTATCGATAAAATTTCTTTTTAATAGAATCAATGATTGAATCCTGATCTTGTCTTTGGTACATTTTGACCTGGTGCATCACTAAACAACAAAATCGATAACGATTGGTTAGTTCTGTAAATAAAACCATAAAGATATTACCATACACTAGACAGAATTGTCCATCAAAGAAAATCGTGAATTTTTAAAGGGAAATATACCTTAACCGTTGGATATTTTAACAAAGAAATTGCACAACTATTGGTATATAGTGTATTATTTCACATAGTTACATTAAAACAATGTTTATTGTACTGAAGAAAGCCACAGTTACTCTGTGAACAAGACTGTGTAGTAGTAAGTGGTAATTAAGATGAAACATTGAAATTTTAAATATTTTGAAACTTCTAACAAAATTTTTATTAATCCTCTTCTTTTAATAACTATATTTTCGATATCAAAAATTGAACAGACATACTACAATTTACAAAGTATTGATACGTAATTTCCAGAAATCTTTTCTTATATTACGATGACATTCCTTAAAACAAAATTCTCTCGATATTTGTGGAATAAATGTTCCGTGTAAACTTCTTTAGTTTTAGAACTCAAAATATACCCGCGATGTCATATAATGACGAGCTAAACAACAAAAGTTTTAAAGAAACGATTAGAAAAAGTGATAGAAACAAATTCTTAAGCTATAGAAGAATCGAATCAATTTTCCGATAATGTCAACTGATTAACTTGCAATATATGATGTTGTGACAGTTCCATTGGTTTTAAGAAATATTGGAACAATTGAAGTGGACGAATCAGGAACTTGCTCACAGGATGCATACCAGAACCATAGACCGAATTGTGTTTCGAAAAACAGAAACAGCCAATAAATTAAGTATATGAATAACTACTAAACAGTTTGTTTAGTAGTTATTCATATACTTAATTTTAAACAGTTTAACTCCGCCTGTAGCTCCTCCAGGGGCTACTGCCGGTCCCAAGCCCGGGTAAAGGAGGAGGGTTGGGCATGGGGTTAGCGACCCCATCCCGTAGAAAATCAACTCGCTAAAAAAACGCTAACCAGAAAAAATCATTCAAACCATTCAAACTCTGCCCTGGGAGTAGAAGGAAAAATGACGTCTCATGATGAAAGCCGAGTTCATTCGGAAGCCATGAGGCCGATGCACCTTCTTACAACCAGAGCGACAATTTTTATAGGTACATGGAATGTCCGGACAATGTGGGAGACCGGCAGAGTCTTCCAAATTTCTGCGGAAATGAGGAAATACAACCTGGAAGTGCTTGGAATCAGTGAAACACATTGGACGCAGGTTGGACAACAACGACTGTCTTCAGGAGAACTTCTGTTATACTCCGGTCATGAAGAAGAAAATGCCCCACATACACAAGGAGTGGCACTGATGCTGTCTAGAAAAGCACAAAATGCACTTATAGGATGGGAATCTCATGGACCGAGGATCATCAAAGCCTCCTTCAGAACAAAGAGAGAGGGCATTACAATGAACATCATCCAATGCTATGCGCCGACCAACGACTACGATGAAGACGCTAAAAACCAATTCTACGATAGGCTGCAGTCAATCTTCGAGAAGTGCCCAACCAAGGACCTGACCATTCTAATGGGAGATTTCAATGCCAAGGTTGGAAAGGACAACACTGGATACGAAGACGTCATGGGACAATATGGACTGGGAGGAAGGAACGAAAACGGTGAGAGATTTGCAAACCTATGTGCCTTCAATAAACTGGTCATAGGTGGCACCATATTCCCACACAAAAACATACACAAAGCCACTTGGATTTCACCGGATCATACTACACAGAATCAAATCGACCATGTCTGCATCAACAAAAAGTTCAGGAGGACGATGGAGGATGTGAGAACCAGAAGAGGAGCTGATATAGCATCCGATCATCATTTGCTGGTCGCCAAGATGAAACTAAAACTCAAGAAGCACTGGACAATGGCGCGGACAACATCACAAAAGTTTAACACGGCCTTTCTTCGAGATGCTGACAAACTCAACGAATTTAACATAGCCCTCAGCAACAGGTTCCAGGCCTTTCATGACCTACTCAATGGAGAAGGAACCACCATAGAGAGCAACTGGAAAGGTATCAAGGAGGCAATCGTTTCAACATGTCAGGAGGTTCTGGGCCAAAAGAAGCACCATCACAAGGAATGGATCACTGTTGGCACATTGGATAAAATTGAAGCAAGGAGGAACAAGAAGGTAGCAATCAATATCAGCCGAACAAGAGCAGAAAAAGCCAAGGCACAAGCCGAATACACAGAGGCAAACAAGCAAGTGAAGAGGAGCATCAGGACCGACAAACGTAAATATGTGGAAGATTTAGCGATGACAGCGGAAAAGGCTGCAAGAGAGGGAAACATGAGACAACTGTATGATACAACAAAGAAACTTGCTGGAAATTACCGTCAACCAGAAAGACCAGTAAAAAACAAGGAAGGCAAAGTAATCAACGATATTGAAGAACAAAGAAACAGGTGGGTAGAACACTTCAAAGAACTCTTGAATCGACCAGCTCCACTGAACCCACCCAACATCGAAGCAGCACCCACAGACCTCCCAATCGATATTGGCCCACCAACAATTGAAGAGATCAGCATGGCCATTAGACAAATCAAGAGTGGCAAAGCAGCGGGACCAGACAACATCCCGGCAGAGGCACTGAAAGCAAATGTAACAGCAACTGCCAAGATACTCCACATCCTCTTCGGTAAGATTTGGGACGAAGAACATGTACCAACAGACTGGAAAGAAGGACTTCTCATCAAGATACCAAAGAAAGGCGATCTGAGCAAGTGCGACAACTACAGGGGCATCACTCTCCTCTCAATACCAGGAAAAGTCTTCAACAGAGTATTGTTAAACAGGATGAAGGATTCCGTGGACGCTCAACTTCGAGATCAACAAGCTGGATTTCGTAAGGATAGATCGTGCACAGATCAAATCGCAACTCTACGTATCATTGTGGAACAATCAATCGAATGGAATTCATCACTGTACATCAACTTCATCGACTATGAGAAGGCATTTGATAGCGTGGACAGGACGACACTATGGAAGCTTCTTCGACACTACGGCGTGCCTGAGAAGATAGTCAACATCATACGGAACTCCTATGATGGACTAAACTGCCAAATCGTCCACGGAGGACAACTCACCGACTCGTTCGAGGTAAAGACCGGTGTTAGGCAAGGTTGCCTACTCTCACCCTTTCTCTTTCTCCTGGTGATCGACTGGATTATGAAGACGTCAACATCTGGAGGAATGCACGGGATACAGTGGACAGGCAGGATGCAGCTTGACGATTTAGACTTCGCGGATGATCTGGCTCTTCTATCACAAACGCAACAACAAATGCAGGAGAAAACGACCAGTGTAGCAGCAGCCTCAGCAGCAGTAGGTCTCAATATAAACAAAGGGAAAAGCAAGACTCTCCGATACAATACAATATGCACCAATCCAATTACACTTGACGGAGAAGCTTTGGATGATGTGGAAATCTTTACATATCTGGGCAGCATCATTGATGAACACGGTGGATCAGATGCAGATGTGAGGGCGAGGATCGGCAAAGCAAGAGCAGCATACCTACAGCTGAAAAACATCTGGAGCTCAAAACAATTGTCAACCAACACCAAGGTTAGAATTTTCAATACAAATGTCAAGACAGTTCTTCTGTATGGGGCAGAGACTTGGAGAACTACGAAAGCCATTATCCAGAAGATACAAGTGTTTATTAACAACTGTCTACGCAAGATACTTCGGATCCGATGGCCAGACACTATCAGCAACAAGTTACTGTGGGAGACAACAAACCAGATTCCAGCGGAGGAAGAAATCAGGAGAAAGCGCTGGAAGTGGATTGGGCACACTTTGAGGAAATCACCCAATTGTGTCACAAGACAAGCCCTCACATGGAATCCTGAAGGTCGAAGGAGAAGAGGAAGACCAAAGAACACATTACGCCGAGAAATAGAGACAGACATGAGAAGAATGAACAAGAACTGGAAAGAACTAGAAAAGAAGGCCCAGGACAGAGTGGGTTGGAGAAAGCTGGTCGGCGGCCTATGCTCCATTGGGAGTAACAGGCGAAAGTAAGTAAGTACTAAACAGTTTAAACTATTCATAGTAATTTAAAAGTATCCAATATACTATGAAATATTTAATTCGATGAAGTCTCCAAATGCTTTGGTACGACCGAGAGTGGGGAGAGTCCGCTCTCTCAAAATTCTCTCATATGGTCACGCATATACAGCCACTGCCAAGGAAGACATACTTACTGCCACCTCGCAGAGGGGATGTTGTTTACGAAATTGAGAGGACGAAAAGCAAATGTCCGGCGCTTTAACCTGGTTGGTGGACACGGATAATCCACCTAGGGGATTCGTAAAACCTTGATTCCTAACCAATAGTGCACATGGGCTCCGGAATCATGATGGAACAAATGGCGTTTGAACCTATTGTTGGTCATTGGCTACCATAGGACTGCATCTCCTAAAGTTGCTCCACTGCCTTCTGGATTAGGCCTTTAGGTCGAAGGCTCGGGGTGTGGCCCTCTAGGAAAACCACCTTCTTTTGTTTGGGCACCCGGGCATTATTTTGGCCCTCACACAAATCGAATGAAGTGTGGTGCGTATATATATGGTATCCCTTTGTACCAATATTTATGTGTTCAAATAAATAAATAAATCGATAAAAGAATTCCTAAAGGCTCATACACTGAAGTGTAACAAAAACAATGGCGCTGATCAATATATGCAGTGTCTAGTACTTTCAACTTACCCAATGATCCCATTCCATCAATAATAGATGTAATTGTAGCCAAAGCACGAGTTCGCCCTAGCAAGGCCGACTGAGTACCCAGGTCGGCAGATACAGCAGTTGTAACTAAGGCATAAGGTCCGTTGATTGCAGAACCGCAACATGTAAGTAAAACTATAAACAAAATACCGAGAGTACGCTATCAGATATGAAGACAAACGAACACAACTTAGGATTTGTGATAACTGTTTACCAAATCAAGTTACTTTTAACCACGGCAAGATAAAAAGGAAGATTCATTAAGACGAGTGGTGCTCTCAAAATATGATAGATCGTACGCAAGAGAAGAGGATAATCTCCCAAGACAGTTGACCTTTTACAGGCATTTAGTTACTTCAGTCTCAGTGTGAAGTAACGCAAACCAAGAGAGGTCAACCACCTCACTAAAACTGAAGCATTTACTTTGGAAAATGAAGTCTTTAATTATTTTGCTTCAGATTAATTACTGGTGTTGGATGAAATAAGTTGAACAGGACATTTTAAAAAAAAAATTATCAACGATTTAAAAAAAATCTGTGCAACACTATCACATAAAATCTCAGAATATTTGGAGAGTCCGGAAAATAGTTGGCTTAATAGGGGTGGAGGTGCAAAGTGTAGTTAATTTATCATGAATATGAGGCTGATAAGTACTCATACAGGAAGTGTTTTATTCATGTTTGTAAGAGAAAGTTGACCCTATCTGCATAAAAAGAAACTGATAGTATTAAGTCATGTTAATCATATGGGCAGACTTCTGATTAATTCATTTACGTAGACAATATGCATGACCTATTACTTATGAGAATTGCGGTTAATTAACAATTTTTAGGAACTAAACGATAGTGAATTGACTTACTTAATGACATCAGCGAGTTCGTAGAAGTCATAAAACGATAAGCTAACAGCTGTAATGACAAAACACGAAACAGTTGGTCAGAAAATTTAAGTACATAATGTAAAGATATAAAAATCATGGTTAAATTTACCGGCGTAATTGTCACGAGTTATAGTAAGTAGTAGATTCTTTAAATGCAATGACTTGATTAAGTAAGATTAAACACAGCGAAAGAGTGATATTGGTCTGTACAATTAGTGAATGAATTATCAACACAACTAAGGTAATCAACTAACCTATATATTCTACTTGAACAAACAGTTCATATAATGTGAATACACAGCGGACAAGAAATAATGAAATCAACTATAGAGATTATAAACGTGTTCGTCAGACTAAAGAAATTGCACATTAGGTATACGTTTAGACAACTCTTCTAGAAAAGCAAGATCGTTAACAATTTAAACTTACCAAAGGTGCCGCACAAGCTAGCATAACAAGACAGGCAAGTGCACGTTTTTTAATTGTTTTTTCATCTTCGTTGAGGTTTTGTCCATTTGACTAGAACAAAAAAGAAAAATACAGAACACCCATCAACATGAATACCAATCAATCAAAACTTTATACATGGAAAAGTATACTCGGGGATAACGAAGTATAACTCTGAGTTCTGACTCATGTATATCCCTTTATTTGTTTATTTAAACACAAGAACGATGATACTAGGAGGTACCAAATATATATGCACCACACTTCATTCGATTTGTGTGAGGGCCAAAATAATGCCCGGGTGCCCAAACAAAAGAAGGTGGTTTTCCTAGAGGGCCACACCCCGAGCCTTCGACCTAAAGGCCTAATCCAGAAGGCAGTGGAGCAACTTTAGGAGATGCAGTCCTATGGTAGCCAATGACCAACAATAGGTTCAAACGCCATTTGTTCCATCATGATTCCGGAGCCCATGTGCACTATTGGTTAGGAATCAGGGTTTTACGAATCCCCTAGGTGGATTATCCGTGTCCACCAACCAGGTTAAAGCGCCGGACATCTGCTTTTCGTCCTCTCAATTTCGTAAACAACATCCCCTCTGCGAGGTGGCAGTAAGTATGTCTTCCTTGGCAGTGGCTGTATATGCGTGACCATATGAGAGAATTTTGAGAGAGCGGACTCTCCCCACTCTCGGTCGTACCAGGGCATTTGGGGGCAATATATATCTCTAGAGATATCGATCAAAAGCTTTCAGTCATAAGAAACACAGTGTCTTCAGTCCATTAGTGTATATCAAGTCAAAAATATCTCTGACGTAGTCAATCAGAATTTTACTAACCTCACTTTGCCTAAAATGATAGTCTGTAACTAATTAAAAATTGATGAGTGACATTTCCAATTTTCAGCTCATCAAATATAGAATGTGAATAGAAATGTGTTTCGGATTGATTTATTTTGAAAAGTAAACAACTGCAATATTTAGGAAACATAAGAAAATACCGTTACTATCATGTCCTGTTAATATATCACGTGACTAAATCACCAGCAGAACACCGACTTATATGATCTTGGCACTGTACAAAACTATTGACGCATCAACCAGTCCGAGCAGCCTATAGTCAACTTCGAATTCTTACTGGTCCTCTGAGATAATAGCTTCTCGCCTAACACAGCCAGTTCAGTCCAGAACACCAATATCAGCCTCCGCCATATGAATCATATATTTCAAACATACGCAGTTTATATACATGCAAATCAAGCAACATCATACCATAAATTAAAAAATAACAACTATACAAGATCACGAGGGGTAACAGGTGTAAGTAAGTAAGGCCAAAAGTGGCTGTTTGAGATACTGTAACTAATAAATTGAGAATAACTTAAGAATAGGAAGCCGTATAATGGTAGTCAATAGGTCAAACAGAGACATAATAAAAGCAATATGAATATGCATATAATATAGTTACTTAGTGGTTATACAATAAGATATATATAATAACAGTTCATAAATAGATCTAAGCAGTTACCATCCATTTATTTTTCGTTCGGATATAAGTTAGTACATGACACAATCCTTCTCTTGAAACGAATACCAATGATAAAACAAACAAATCAACTTCGTGGATCAGTTGAAGTCAGACATTAACACCATTGGATGCCAGCTCAGTGGTCTATCGGTTAAGGGCTCCAACTCGAGACTGGTAGGTTGTGGGTTCGAATCTCGCGAGCGCGGGTTCGTGGATGCGCACTGCTGAGGAGTCCCATAATAGGACGAAACGGCCGTCCAGTGTTTCCAGATTTTCCATGGTGGTCTAGCTTCAAATGACTCATGCTTTCAACTATGAAATCAGGAATGACCAAAAAGCTCGTATTCCAAGCTACCAGTTAGCAAACTAACGCTAGTTTAACGATTCGTTAAAGTGTTTAGTTCATTATTTTCAATGTCTGGTTTCAGAATAGATCATAGATCTATATTTTTCTGTAACAGAGTAATTCACTGTTCACATTTTTTGGTCATAGCCTATTCAGTAAATCCAAACAACTTTCTAACGTTACCCTATTAGCATCATTACTGTTCTATCTGTTGTTTTAATTATCTGTCACTGTTTACTATAAAGACCTTTTGTTCTTCATTTGACAGAAAGATTTACTAAGGACAATACAATAAACATACTTGAATGGAGTCTAATGTCTGGAAAAAGCTCATCTGAAAGTTAGTAATTTACTTCAACATAATATGTAGGCTTTTATTTATAATCGTCAAATGAACGGAAACAAAACTTACCTGACTATCACTAAACCATCCTATCAATACACCACCGATTATGCCACCAACATCGAATAACACAGAAAGTTTAGCAGCCTGTTCAGCTGATACATGTTCAACAATCGTTAAGTAGTTTGGTAACCAATAAAGAAATGTATATGAGACAAGTTTCGTAAAGAATAATAAGAGTGAGTAGGTAAACACACTCTGTAAAATAAACAGAAAAAGGAAATGACAAGGAGGAGATTTCATAAAATAATTAACGAACATATTTATTCATGAATTACTATATATACTTTGTGGAGATAATTGAATCCTAGCGGAGTTTCGTTTTTGAGCTGGATTATTTGGTTATGGAGCTTTAATTGTTCTTCTGAATAAAATCATAAGCACAAATTTCAAATAGAAGTGAAGTATTTGAATTTCTCCACATATGACTCACAGCTTGTTCCGTCGACTTCGATCTTTATTGGTTATTGCTAACCTTTAACCTGTCGCGAAATGTCTCTTTTTTGTGATTGTGCATCCTTTTGATCTGATTTTTGGTCCTAAGTTTGTCAGAAGAGCAATGAACGCTCCACGACCAAACGAAACTCCACCAAAATCATCCGGCTCAGCTAAAAATCTTCTATACAAGATAAATGAATTTTATAATGAGTAGAAACGGTTATATTGTATGGTATCTGAGTCTGTTACTGATATACAAACTTCCTATACGCGATTTCATCCAGTTACTTGAGTAAAAACAACGAAGAATGAGTAGGAAGCGTTTATTGGCTAACCGAATAGACAATATGTGTACATTCACAAATAAATACACATCTTTATCTGTCAGAAAATGAAGCCATATTATCATACCTTTATCATTTATCACTCACCAGTTGGCCTGTATAATTCCCTACCCAGTGATTCCTGGTTTTTCAGAAATTAAGCCTTCACTAAAAAAAACTAAAGCATATGCTGCGAAATAGTAAGGAAAATGTGTCAAATCAATAGATTTGGCAAAATAACGAGATTCGGAAATATACGTTTTTGGAGTGGTATAACTGGATTAAAAATACCTGAAGACAAACTTACTGGCAATAGAATAGCTTCAATGAAACTAATTGGTCGAGTCGCCTCAGTATTCGATATTAAAGGCCTTAAACCATCCTTATCCGACATATCGCGGTCGATGTTTTCCTGTAAAGAAATGGGATAACAATAACACTATCAGGTAAACACAAAGTAACGCACAAAAGTGGTTAGCTATTACTTCATAAATCCAAGTGACGTTTAAATCTGCAAACATAATTTGTGTTCAGAAATGTAGTTGGTTCGGTCTCGTTTTAGTGATAAAGTTAGGTAACTGGAGTTCAAATCCAATTGGTTTCAATCAAGAAGCTTATTTTTAAGTCCAAAAGTAATACAGAGTCACTCTCATGTAACGGTTAAAAATTTACTTTATTTCAGTCCTGTGATTCATATATAAGTTCTCTTACTCGTCCAACTGAACTGATGTATAACGTAAATCAATTTGAAGACTGAGTTCGATAAGCTTTTTGAAGTCTTTTAATTTGACTTGAAATAAATCGTATGATGTTATCGAAACATACATCCCGACTGCCCTCGTACATAACTATCGACTTAATTCACGTTCGAGATTACCGTGATAAGTCAGATACAAAAATGAATTTTGAATACGTATATTTCGTGCATCTGTTGATCAGGATAGACATTCAGAATGAAAAGCGAAGCAGAGAAGGAGCCAACTCGTTTTGTTGAAATGCGACTCAATATTTAAAGTCAGACAAAAATAAGCTACAGACACGTAATTAATAGGGTGAGCAATCAACGAACGCTCATATAAAAACAGTCAGGGTTAGTAAGTGGCAAGGTCAAAATGTGACTCCAGAAGAATGAATAAACTGGTCTGTCCGGAAGCTAGAATAACCCCTGTAGGCTTGGCATAGTACCAGACTCTACAAGTTATTGTCTTACAAACATTTATTCGAAATAATTTCCGCCCACGAATTAAGTTGAATGTACGCAAACTATTTGAACAGTTATAAATAAATATTTGAATAAATAAATATTAAAATAAATAAATAAATATTTAAATAAATATTTGAACAGTTGCTAATGTTGTGAAGTAATTAACAAATCTACCTTTTATTTTATATTAACAGGATAATGCAATTGTCTGTATTATGTGAAATTAGTAGAAATACTACCTACAATTGTTTTTTTTTATTTTATCGACTAATAAACTTGATGTTGCAATGCCTTTTAAGCAATTTTTTAGAATCCATAGATTAAGCAACAGTAATACCATTCATAAAACTTGGTTGGAATTGTAGGAATCTGGGTGGTAATACTAACCACTATACAAGCTGTGCAGTTCGAAATCGAGGGAATAAATCTGCTCTAGGTAAATGGGTTGCCCATAGATGAACGTTAATTATATCACAGTTACTTCCACTAGCTCTATTCAGCTAGAAGTTATGAAAAAAATGGATGAATATTCTTCGTTATGATAACATATAAGCCAACACGAGGAAGCTGGAGTAAACGGAGTTATAAAAGAAAACATAAATCAATCCAATCTTATGAACTCAGAGTTAATTTAGACTTGTAATCGGTATGGAAAATGGCAAAAGTAATCGATGCTTTAAGTGGAAGAGTGCCAATGAGTACAGCACATGGAAAATAACCCACAGAGGAGGAATGGGTTTTTGTTTACATGTAACATAAAGTGTTACTACTCACTAAGCATTTTGAAATTACGTATTTTTTTGTGAACTCCAAACCACCACATTAAAGAATTTCTACCTTGAAGGATGATCATATTAATTGATACACAAATAACAGAAGCTTTTAAAGTGGAGAGTGAAGCCTGTACTGACTAGCCTATATTACTTATATCCTTAAAAAAACAGACAGTAATTAACACTACTGACTGATGACAAGTAACTAACAGATATCGTACTGGTATTATCAATAAAATCGGTGAACTGTGATAAACAGTTGGTATATATGACTTAAGTGGGTCTTTGAATAGTCAGCTTTATGATGAGTTGGCAATTGTGTATACGACTCATTTAAGCTGTGATATATAATTAACTCATATAAAGTGGTTTAGAATTTGTTTCTATAACGATTATTTATCAAATTACGTTTAGCAAAAGCTTTCGGTTGCATTCGAACCGCGCGATTGAAAAAGATAAGAAACAACGGACATTCATAACCGCATTCGGAAGTCAACATGAAAACCAACTCCACGAAGTCAATGTAATAATGAGTGATGCATTATGGGGACAACTTGTTAATAAATACATACAATTAAAGCTTTTGTCAATATAAAATTTTATTTCTACTGATGCCAGTGTTTATTTCTAAAACAAATCAACTTTCGGGGGTTACATTAAAATCAGCTGGAAAAAAACTGAACGAATAGGTAATTACCCCATATATACTTCCTGACATTGGAATTTGAGTACCTGTTTTGTCTGAACTAGGCGAGTTATAAACCAACATGTTAGGATGCTCTATAACTGTCAAGTAGACAACCAATGCCCCAACCATCATGATAAGACCGGGCAGATAAAAAGAAGCTCCCCAGTTTGTTTCAACATAGATTCCAGCAATGACGGAGCCTATGATATTTCCTAAGCTTGTATGAGAATTCCAAAGACCCATAATAAGTCCACGTCTATACGAAAACAGGAAAAACAAATGTGAACGTTAATAAAAAGGAAAAAAAGCTTGTGTATAACAAACTACATTCCACAAACTCAGTTTACTGATTAGCAGAGATGGATAGTGGCTAGCAGTGGAATTCAGGACGCACGTTTCGTCCTATTTGGGACTCGTCAGCTGGATGTACCTGCATCTCAGAGTTGATGTTCACTCTGGGACTCGAACCCAGTACCCTCGCTTCAAACGCCATCGCGTTATCCACTCGGCCACTGAGTCCTGATAGCCACTTGCTTGTGCAATGGGGTGAAGTTAAAACAAACAATAATAAGTTGAATTCAGTTTACTGAGTTCAAATTGATACATAATAGATTGAAGTTATCATGTGCTCACTCATGACTAGCTTCAAGATGGATTTCCTGGAGTTCTGGTGAGGAGCCGTGACCGATGGGGTCAAACCGTGTCCGTTGTGAGGCATTTACTTACTGAAGACAATGGTGGACGGTCGCGTAATATCGTGGATTGGTTTAAGTTAGACATTAACACCGTTAGATGTCGGCTCAGTGGTCTAGAAGTTAAGCGTCCGCTTGCGAGTCCGAGTCCCTTTAGTGTGGGACTGTGGATGCACACTCCTGAGGAGTCCCATGCTAGGACAAAACGACCGTTCAGTGCCTCCAGATTTCCAGAGGTGGTCTAACATTGATCCATTCATGATATCAATCTAAATTGAAGTTACTTTGCAAGAAACAGAAGGTGGACTTGACTTTTGTAAGATTTAAACAAAGTTTACGATCAAGACAGTATATCAATCATTAACTGCCATATAAACTATTTTTTAATGTTTTAATTCGAAATAAAGATACGATGAATTGTCTGACTGGATCTGATGCAACTTTTGTTTCAAAAGGGATCTCTATTCCACTGTCACTTATTAATAGTGGTAAGGACAGAATCATTTTCATAGACGAAGAAAATTCTAATCTAGTAACCACACGCAAGTGAACTTATAGTAAATGTAAACGTTATATATATATATATATATATATATATATATATATATATATATCAGTATTAAACGTGAAACTATGTTGGAGACCTGCTTTTGCCCCACCAATTTCCCACCAGAGTAACAACAGCCGGCCATCCAGAAGCTTGAACAAGACCAGAAAACACCTGAAAGTGAGAATCAAACATTTTCTACCTGTATAAAGACGAAGTATGAGTAGTAGTGAATTTCGAAGTATGAAGCAAGTCCAAATGCAAAAGTGGAAACTCCACTAAGAAACATTCCGATGGATAAGAAGTATCTTAGATTGACTCTTTCTGCAAGAAAGCCACTACAAAGTAGTTCGACATCTGTTAAACTCACCTTAGAATCATTGAAACTGCATAAACAAATAAATAAATATATTCAAGGCCACCCAATAACTGACTCCAATTGTCGGAATCTAAATACGGCCGTCAACCATACGACAAAAAGCTACCAAACGGTTTCCAGCCCTCAGAAGTGAAACCAACAGTTTTCGGTTGTCCATTTACGCTGGAACGATGAAGAACCGTCTTAACAATGCTAAGGGGTTTTCGTGAGGCATGATAAAATGTGTAGCAGAAGTACGTAAGCAGGAGAATATATATTGCTAGTCTGTCGGTAATATTGAACAATCAAAGAATAACATACCTCCGGAAATCATTTCGCAGTACCGATGTTTGGAAAGGTCTGTAACATGGGGGTAAAGATCGTTTCATCAAAAATCGACTAAAAAGCGCCAGACCGCTTGAATAGTCTATACGTCAGAAAAATTTCACATACCTTGAGGTGTTGTTAGAGAATACACAGAGTGTAAACTGACAATTAATTCGGGAATCTAAGGGACAGAACAAAAATCAGAAACCTCGTTAAGTATATACAATACATTTACATGTGGTAATAGTCTACAATGTTATAGAAACGTATTCAGGTTTACATTTCTTACTGAAACGAATCATTTCATTGACTCTAATTTCTGAAATTTATTTTCATTTGTGGCATAGGATTCGTCTAGCCTACATAAAACTAGAGATAGAGTTTTCTGTAAAACTGACTTTTTACTTATCTTCGTGAGGTTAACTGGATATTGAGGGATTTATATTGGATTTGGGGAACAGGTCACATTGAGAAGACAGGAAAATTGACTGAATGGTACCAGATTTATATGGTTGGGAATCATATATTGAAGTGACAACAGTTTTGACAATATACATAAACGTTTATTGAAATAGATCAATATCGGTGGCATGTATTTCTTATAATAATACACTTGTATGATTTTGAAACACAGGCAACGACTTGTTATTTAGGAGAGACTAAGTTGTTAGAATTGAGGAATAGAAATAAAGTGTTTGTAAAAGGGATGTATGACTTTACAAAAGCAAGGAGAATCCACCTTTATTGGACGTAAATACGATCTGCATTATATTACACTACTTTTTAAATATAATCTTTGGTAGATCTTAAAACAAAAATTTGAGCTTCAGATAGTTTTGAGTTGAAATGACGTCCATTAACTAAGTGTAATGAGATTTCTGATGGAACCACAATTTATGGAGGACCTTTGAGCAACACTAAAATGACCTTGGAATGTTCATCTACTTAGGTTAAATGAGGATGTGTGTGTAAGGAATTAAGATTTACAGTTGGACATTTACGCTAGGGATTAGACTTAATATTTTCATCACGAACTAATGAGCTATAATGCTAAAATGGTTCTTAACAAATTGAGTGAGTGAATTTCGCGTCAAAATCAAAGACCTGTCTGATCGGCTTTTCCATGATCGAAAGTCTCGCCAGATCTTTTCTAGGTTATGATATTGTAAACATATAAGCAATCCTGCAAAATTATCTACAATCATCAATTTTTAGTTTAAGAACTATACTGAAACTAAGGATGCATATGAATACAAGATCACCATACGAGAAATAGCTATTTCAGAGCTTTCAGTATTTTTTGAGAAGCTATTTTACACATTAAAATCTACAGGAAATGATGCGTTCTGCCACTACCGCTTTAGCGAGAACTTTTCAGTATTAGAGATAAAGGCGTACACAAAGACCCTATTGAATTCTTTATGAGCGACAACTAACAAAAACTGACCTGATTGAAGAACATGGCTGAAAGAAGTTGTAGTCATAAGACATCTTAATGCTTGACTTACAATAGATGACGGAAATTTTTACACAAACAATGAGAATCCAGTGGTATTAACTGGAAGCAATTTCCATGAAAATACCAGATAAGTAAAATAGGAGACTACCTTGCACTAGAAAATCTTCCAAAAAACTGAGTGCACATAATTGTTACACAGAGCAGAAAAATAATTAAGGTTTTGAACATAACACATCTGCCTAATCTATGTGAAAAAACAGGATAAAAAAGATGACATGGTGTTTAATACAGACATGCTGAGTATGAACTACTGTACACTCATTTGTGAGTTGTGTCAGGTCACGTATTTGATTATTAAATATATTCATATGAATCAGTTTTCGTTAATTAACTAGCTTATAATGATGCAACGTCACAGTGAACATATAAAAGTGTACATACATTTATTATTGAAATTAGGTGATGATAAGCACCAATGGAAAATTTGTGATATCAAGACAATCTGGTCATGAAATATAACTGACGCAAGTAGCCTCAGAAGATTTCAAAAGTACGTACTGCTGTGTACGTTGAAATGACCTTGACATTGTGACGCTTGAAACATGCAACGTGACCGTGACGAGGAGTGATTTCCCATCATTGATTTTTATTTTACTTAGAAATTATACTTCCAAATTTCCCTGATTTCATGATGAATTTGGTTGTATTTAGCTGAGGTAAACCATCTTCAATGACGCCCCATCTTGATGTAAGAAACTATGTAATCAAAAGATTAAAGCATTTTATTGGCTATAAAGCCTGAAAAAAAAGGGAAAATGAAGTTCTTGTGATTTTTTTGTAGTCAATTGACTTTTGTTGATGTCAAAGGGTAATTTATTGTTTCCCCAAATAGCCTACCCCAAGTCTTGCCAGATCTAAAGCTGTCACAGAGAAAACCTATAAGGTTTCTCTTTTAAACTTGAAATCTAGTATCAACTTATGTCGCCTCCAACGCCATGATTTTCATTATCTATACACAGATTGAAGTTCAACAGCTTAATTCAGTCGTTCTGGCTCAGTTTGATTTTGAGGAACGACACTGAGCGACTCATCGGTATTGAAGGGTCGGTGAAATGTCACTGAATATCGAACAGATCATCGATCCCTGTCAAGGTCAAGGATAGTCAACGCGCATCAGTCAATTATTTGCCATGGACTGGCTCACGCGGAAGTGGTTGTTCTTTCACTTCTGTACTTTCAGTGGTTGTACCTTAACAAATATATTCTTGTAATAACGTCCTTTGTGTTGTACAGTCTCCATAGCGTCCATGATCCTTTGATGCGTCGATGGTTCAAACCACGTAAGGGTCGGTCGCGAGGTGTGACTTCAGCGTTAGTTGGTTCGTCACCGTTCTCGTCTAACTATAGTAGGCCGCCAATCATTTTTACATAGAACATCAACGTTGATGATCTTACACTGGTAAGCAAGACTTCGAATAACGCAACCTATCAATATGATCTTTTTTATTGCATTCTATACTTATTATTTTTCATTTTTAACTTCGGCTATCTTTATCTGTCCGTTGCATGCAATCTGACAGACGCATTCCCCCACATTCTCGTTCTCAGCTCCTTGGCTTCCCGACACTCCACCCATCTCATCTCTATTATCCCACCCGGTCAGACTGCCTCATTCATTCCCTCGAGCGTCATCAACACCAATCGCACTCACTCACTCTCACATTCTCTCTCGCTCACATACACGCACACACACACCACACAAATGCTTGCGTGACACTGTCTATCCTCGCCTCATTCAATCTCTGATCAGACACAAAAATTAACAATTGTCGTCTGATCACATAGTCCATGTGAGTCATCCATGTCGACAGGAGCATTGTAGTAGTCGGATTGATCACTTCTCAGTGAATACGTTGTATGATCGCTGAAATGTCACTGAATATCGAACAGATTATCGATCCCTGTCAAGGTCAAGGATAGTCAACGCGCAA